CTAAACTAGTTAGCAAGTTGGAGGAAGAAAAGTAGGGAAAGAAAAAGGAGTCACCTTTAAATCAAGTTGGATTCATACCAGGACTAGATACACTGATGTCTCAGATAAGAGTGTGACCAGAAGACTTTCAGTTACATAAGAAAGACCAGAAGAGCCAAAGATCCTCTCCAGGTTTCTAAAGAGGAACAAGGAAAGACCATAGCCTGAGCAGGTTTAATGAACATGTAGAAAGCAAACATAAATTGTTTATTGTGATTTCATCCCATGAGTCCTAAATGTTCCATTTCTTTTTTGAAATCACTTTCTCAAAATCGCCAAAAAATCTTTACTGTGTTGAGAAAATAAAGGAATCTGGAAGCACAAGGTCTGAAATCAAATTCTAGATGCACACAACTCAATAGTTGAATGTCCTTGGCTAACTCATTGAAACTCTCTGAACATCATTTTTTTATTTATATATTTAAGAGGCTAAAACAGTTAATCTCTAAAATTCCTGTTCTTTTTTTTTTTAATTTTTTTATTTATTTATGATAGTCACAGGGAGAGAGAGAGAGAGAGAGAGGCAGAGACACAGGCAGAGGGAGAAGCAGGCTCCATGCACCGGGAGCCCGACGTGGGATTCGATCCCGGGTCTCCAGGATCACGCCCTGGGCCAAAGGCAGGCGCCAAACCACTGCGCCACCCAGGGATCCCTTCTTTCCTGTTCTTAATGTTACTTGTCTTAGTTTGGGCTCTCGAGAAACATACCTAGAGCCAAGGATTCTAAATAATCTGGGAATCCCAGGAAACTTAGTAGAGAAGCAGGAGAATGAGACAGGAAAGGAAGCCAATAAAGAGTGTTTTCAAGCCAGTTACCACTGTGGGCAAGAGGAGCTCAATCCCACTGTGGAACCCAGGGAGAATGTGTAGACCAGCCTGGTCCCGCAGAAATAGTAGTTTTAAATATTCTTCTAGTAGCTGAATTTAAAAAGGTAAAAAGAAGTTGGCAAAATTCATTTTAATAATTTTTCAACCCACTAAATTCAAAATATTACATTTCAACATGTAAAAATTATTAACGAGATGTTAAAACTTTTCAAATAAGTCTTTGAAGTCAAGTTTATACTTAAAGGACAACTTGACTTGGACATTAAATTTTCATTTGACGTGTATTTAGATTTTGTAAAATTATAGTTGGAAAAGTACATTAATATGGCCAAGTTTTTCCAAATATACATAAAAGTTTTCCAATCACCGAAGAGTATCATTTTACTTTAACTTAGTTAAAATTAAATAAAGTGTGATATTCAGTTCTTCAGTCACACTAGCCACATTCTATATGATCAATAGCCACATGTAGCTAGTGGCTCCTGTATTGGACACAGATGTCGAACGTGCCTCAGAGTTATTCTATGTGATGGGGGGCAAAGAAGCTAGGCAGTTTACCTACCTCACGGACCATCATTGGTTAATGGCTGTTTCTGGGGCCGTTGACAGCTGTGCTCATGACCGAGTTTGCTTACCACCAGAACAAAGGCTCTCGCAGAGAGGTGCAGGTGTTCACAGTAAGAAACCTTCTGCACGTGGAGGTGAATGCCAAGGGGATGTGGGCAGAGCCCTGATGGTGTCTGCTGTACTATATGACCTCCATTTTGTCAGCTATTGTCATTTTTATCAAACCCCTTCTTGATCTCTTAGAAGAACGTGGCAGATGAATTTTTTTTTTTTTTTGTTTCAAATATCTCTCACAGTCAAATCTTTCCTTCCACTGCCACGGATGGTGTCCTGTATGTCAGAGGCCCTGCCTCACCTAGCATGGTTTGCCACGTTTGCCACAATTCTATAATGGCTTATGTGCCATAATTCAGGCATGAGGTGGATGCAGAGAGCTATGGTATTTATTATGTGGCATTCCCCATTCAAGTCTCCAGAACCAAGTCTGATTTTAGGTAGGAAGAATTTCAGATCTAACTTAATACTCCAGTACTTGGCATTTAAGTACCTCTACCCTTGGTCCAGCTAAAAGCTTGGTCTTGAGACTGCTGTACTCACGAGACCCATTCACATTTGTACCATCGTTTGAATATCTGATTCTCTGGTCTCTTCGCTTGAGCCCCAGCTTGGCTAATGCCTCTATTTTCTAATCTTAGGCAGAATGCAATCCAGACAGCCAATTTCCCTGGTAACTATGCCCTACCCACTGGCCCCATAAACCTCTAGATATCTTGTAGCTCTGCCCACACTCCCAACTTTATTCTCCAGGACTCCTTGGTCTGTATTGCCTGATGCTTTCTGGGTTGTGTGAGGTTAAACCCTCTGCAAACCATGTTCTGTCTGCCAGACTGGAACTCCTCCCATCTTCTTCCTCCTGGCCTATGCCACTTGTCAGGATCTCATTCGGGGTCTCTGCCTCTATCACCCTATCCTGTAACATTGCACTTAACCAGGTCATGTAATATCGCAGCCCCAAAATAGGATAACATTTGCTTTCAAGCCTAAATTAATGCATATAAGCTATTATCATTTCTTTTCTTTTTCTAGTCTATTCTGCATTATGAAGTCAGATTCATTTCTTAAAATTCTGTATTTGACATGCCAACATTTGCTGAAGAAAATCCATAACTGTCCTAGATGGAGTCAGGTTTTGGGGAGACAAAAGAAACATATGACAATGTTCCTGACTTCAAGTAGTTTTCAAGCAAATTTGAGAGGCAAGACTCGGATGTATGACAGAATTAGCAAATAGTGTAGAACAGGGATTGGCAAACTTCATCTGTTTTAAAGGGCCAGAGAGTTCATATTTTAGTCATTGTGGGCCATATTTTCGTTGCTGAAACTACCAACTCTGTCTTTGTAGCATGAAAGCAGTGGCAGACAATACATGAATGAAGGGACATGGTTGTGCTCCCATGCAACTTCACCGGATGCTGAGAGGGACACTAAAATTTACATTTCATATTATTTCTACATGCCATGAAATATTCATCTTTTGATTTTCCCCAACCATTTAAAAATATTAACACCACTCTTAGCTTGCAGACCACACAAAAATAGGCAGTGGGCAGGATGTATTTAGCTGTTGTTGTTGTTCCTCAAACAGTGGTGTAGAACATAATTAAGAACTTGGTTGGGTGGTTCAGATCCAATGATATAGAAGTTTAAGGGAGACAGTCATTGAGATACCTTTATAGGAAAGTCAAAACTGGCTCTGGAAGGTTGTACAATAATTTGGATGATTATGGAAAGAAAGAGGCTCTATCAAGTCAGCAATAGCATAATCCAAGAGAGGAGTTGAATGTGGTACACTAATGAGTGATGGGGCTACACTGAATAAAACAGAAGGTCCTTATTATCGACCAACCGTTGCGTATCTGTTGGATATTTGCACTTGGCCAAAAGGTGAATAACAAAATGTAGACATTACTTCTTCCCCCTATTCTGTCCTTGTAGATTAGCTCTTAGAAAAATATAGAACTGTCTTCTTCCAGCCTCCACAACTCAAACTCACTTCCAAATTTTTCTTCTCTGTACTTCTTTGATCTTTATTCTGAAATTTCCCCAGATCTCTTTTCTGGTATGTAATTCTTGTTCTCAGTTGTGTCTGAGCTACTGTGTAACGCTTCCATTGAGGTGTAATATCAAGGTGTGATGATATGTTATTTCTAGAATTTCACTTTTTAAATCTTCTTTTCCTAGTTTCATATTGACTTCTTCTTGGGTTACAGTATTATGTCTTCATTTTTCTCTTTAAACAGATTAAAAATACTTACTTAATAGTAGAGTTAGATTGTTTCCTTTTTCTCTAGGTTTTAGGGTTTTGATTCTTTTCTCACGATTATTCGTTTCCATAGGCAGGTTACAATTTTGGTAGTAAACTAATATCCGATGGGGTGTTTTACCTGAGAACCTCCTGTGCTCAAGATAATGAAAGTGTCCCGGTAAAGTGGCTTTGTATTTTCCCCTGCCAAGCCCACAGGGTTTTTACCCATTCCATAAGTTTCTACATTAATTTCTTGACTTCTTTACCATGTAGGTAGTATAAATTTGAATCCCACAACCATAGAGAGTGTAGGCTTGATTTCCTATCTTATGAGTGATTCTTTTCCTATTTATGGCCCCTGGCATAAGGCACACTTCCCTAACACCTCTCCAGGCTAGTGGTTAAAGTTTTCCAGTCCCTCTAGCTTCTTAGCTGACACAGGACTGATCTTTCACTTCATGTCCCAGCAATGGCATTATGACTTCAGCCCCCAGCCTTAGGTTCATGGGTCTCATGTCTATGGATCATTGCTCTCTGCTTTGTCACTGGGGGTTTCCCTTCCATTTGCATTTACTTACTTATTTCATTTTTTAAAATTCTATTTTTATCCAGCACTTCTATACTTGGAGGACCAAGGGAGCCTTACCATGCACTTCCATCTGACAAATTCCTAAGACCTAGTGGGTTTTATTTTTAAGAAGAGGAAATCAAAACACTAGAGGACTAAGAGAATGAAGTTTTTTTTTTTTAAAAGACTTACTTATTTTAGAAAGAGTGAGTGAGAGAGAGAGAGAGAGAGAGAGAGAGAGAATGAATGGGAGGGACAGGGAGAGAGAATCCCAGGCATAATCCATGCTGAATCAGAGCCCAGTGCGAGGCTCAATCTCACAACCCTGAGATCATCACCTGAGCCAAAACCAAGAGTTGGATGCTTAACTGACTGAGCCACTCAGGCACCCCTAAGAGGATGAAGATTTTAAATGTGGATAGGAAAACTGTAAAGATTCTAAAAAAAAGAAAAATCCCTCCAAAGAAACAAAGGATTGGCAATTCTCTGTATATGGATATTTTATTTGTTTGTTTTTAAGCCTTTCATTCAGAAATAATTTTATATTGACAGATTTGCAAAAATAATAAAGTTGCTATACACCCTTCACCCAGCTTCTCCTAACAGTGGCATCTTACATTGTTGTGCCCAAGATTGTGAATCCAAGAAACCACCAAGGAGCCGACACCGATGCAAACACGAGGGTTTATTTACAAGCTCGAGCTTGGGTCCAAGTGTACTCGACACAGCGGAGCAGGGACTTGGACCCCGGGGTGGGTTTCAGCTTAGTTTTATGGGCTGGTCTAGGGGACCTCCAGAAGAGGTAGAGGAATTTCTCAAGTTCTGTTTACATTCTGATATGGGGCTTTCAAGGGCATTGAGCTCTGTTCTTATTCTAATAGGGGCTTCCTGCCCTTGGCTTGGGCTGTTTTTATTCTAATATGAGACTTTCTAATATGTTAAGCTGTAAACTGTTTTCTTCCTGTAACTGAAGTAAGGTAAAGTTCAGCTCTTATTCACAAGGCCCTGGGATGGCTGGACTTGTGCTAAGGCTGAACTTAAAGTGGAATGGCCTTAATTTTCTCGGCCTCCACATTTCCCCCTCTCAGAGGAACCTAAGGAAGGACCCAATCATGGGTCCAGGTTGCTCTCAGAGTGAGCCAGGGGAATGATTAAACCAGGATTCTAACCAACCTTGTGGCTGTTCTCACTCCCATTTACATTCCAGCGAAGAAGCAACATCCTAGGTTTAAGGCAGCACATAATCCCCCTCCCCCTTTGTTGTAGGAAGACTAAGTCTAATCCTCTTCTATTTTGAAGGACAACCTCAGACTAGGGAGTCTTGGAGGTGGGAAATAAGTGAGAACGGCACAGTCTTAGCTTTAGGGGATTGTCCTTGTTCGGTTGGCTTTTCCATTCTGGAACAAAGTCCTTGAGAACGGCGTGTGGGTGTAGTGGACCCAGGGAGTAATCCCGTCGACCTTGAGAGCGGTGGGAGTGGTCAGGATCACGATGTAGGGTCCCTTCCAGCGAGGTTGAAGTGTCCGGTGTCGGTATCTCCACACGTACACCCAGTCACCTGGCCAATATCGATGGGGGTCCGGGGGTGGCCCAGTCTCATAGAGGGCCCTCAGCTTAGGCCACACCTGCTCATGGGTTCGTTGTAAAATTTGGAGGGAGAAAAGAAGTTGGTGATCATCAAATTCAGCAAGCACCTCAGGTTTTAAATTGGAGCTGATAGGTGGAGGAAGACCAAACACAATCTCGTAGGGAGTCAGTCCCATCTTATATGGGGAATTCCTCACCCTATATAGGGCGAAGGGGAGGAGAGTCACCCAGTCCCTGCCAGTGTCCAGGGCTAATTTAGTAAAGGTCTCCTTTAATGTTCTGTTCATCCTCTCTACCTGTCCTGAGCTCTGGGGCCTATGTGCACAATGTAATTTCCAATCTGCCCCAAGTACTAGGGCCACTCCCCGTGTTACCTTAGAGACGAATCCTGAGCCGTTGTCTGATCCAGTCTTAACAGGAACATCATACCTTGGTGAGATGTCTTCCAGCAGTTTCTTGGTCACAGTCTGTGCTGTTTCATGTTTGGTGGGAAATGCCTCTGTCCATCTTGAAAAAGTATCTACAAACACTAGTAAATACCTGTATCCGTATTTTCCAGGTTTTACCTCAGTGAAGTCCACTTCCCAGTAGGCTCCTGGGCGGTCCCCTCGGAGCCGGGTGCCCGGGTTAGATCCATGGGCGGTGGCATTAGTTAACTGGCATGCGTGGCAGCTCGCCACAATCTGCTCGATCTTTGCTCCAGAGTCTTTAATAGTGATCTTTGCATGTCGTATGAGGTCTCCCATCTTCCTTGTTCCCATGTGAGTGCTCCGTCGCATTTTGGATAGGACTCGCCGTCCTAGTTCCTCTGGCAAAATGATGCTGGAGTCTGTGGCCCTCTACCAGCCACGCAAGCACTGGGTCATAGGCAAGTGTTTGATCCAGTGTAAATCAGCATCAGTATAGTTGGGGGTGTCGGGCAGGGTCTGTGCCCCCATCAGGTCTCCGTTTCCATGGTTACAGCTGCCCCCGCGTATCCGATTCCTTCTCAGAGGAAACTGCTGCCCTCCGTGTACCAGGTGGCGTCTGCATTCTGCAGTGGCTGGTCCTGGAGACCTCTGATTCTGTGCACCTGTGCCAAAATTTCTTGACAGAGGGGAGGTCTCAGTCTGGGTTAGGGAGAAGAGGGGCATGGGGTATTGGCGGACCCTGACAGGGTCTGCCCCCGGCTTTAGTACTATGTATATGGCCGGTTGGTGCTGGGCCAGCCCGATTCCCCCAGTTTCTGTCCATGCTTGGGGAAATTCCCGCAGCCAACGGTCAATGTCAGTCATTGGGACTGAGGGCATTTGGTGGAGACAATATTCATCTTCTAAACTCAGGACAAGCACCTGAATCGGGTGCCCCTCCTTGTTTGGGACTTTTGCCCCTTCAGGGTGGAAGCGAATTTGTACCCCCATCTTGGTGAGCAAATCCCGACCTAACAACGGGTAGGGACACTCAAGGATGACCATGAAGGAGTGAGATACCCAGCCCGTGCCAAGATCCTCAGTTCTTCGGGTAGTCCATGAGTACTGTTTGGTGCCCGTGGCCCCTTGCACCCATGAAGTCTTGGGTTTGCCAGTTTCCCTTGGGGTTGTTTTAAAACCAAATGTTGTGCCCCACCCAGTGTCCACTAGGAATTCAACAGGTTGCCCCTCCACTATAAGAGTTACCCTGGGCTCGGGGAGGGGTGCTGAAGCCCGACTCCCCTAATCGTCCAGGTCCTCCATCTCCAAGATCTTGGCAGGGGCCTAAGATCTTTTGTTAGGGCAGCTTTTCACCCAGTGGCCCTTTTCTTTGCAATAAGCACATTGGTTTTTGTTCAGCTTAGGGTGCTCCTGAGGGGGACCAGGGCCATCCTCCTTACCTGTCCCCGAAGCCAGCTTCTTGAGGTACCTCTATCTTTCCTGTGGGTCATCCATGGTTGTGGCCAGTAGGATCTTGGCCAGGTTTCGGGTCTGCCAGGTCACTTAGTTTGGTTTGTTGTTCTTCCGGACTTTCTCTATTATTATAGACTCGTTCTGCTACTATTACTAAGTCCTGCAAGCTCTTCTCTCCCAGTCTCTCTACTCTTTGCAATTTCTTTTTAATGTCCGGAGCAGCCTGGTTAACAAAAGCCATGATAATTGTGGCCTTTGTTTCCGGGGCTTCTGGGTTCATAGGGGTGTACTGCCTAAAAGCCTCTATGACTCTCTCTAAGAAGGCTGCTGGACTCTCATCCTTACCCTGCTCACATCATAGACCTTGGCCAGATTGGAAGACTTGCACTGCAGCCTGGAGACCTGCCCCTAGAGTCTGGCGGTGGACCCGGGGTCTCTCCTTACCTTCAGCCCAGTTGTGCGCTTTGCGGGGTAAAAAGGCTTTTAGTGAAGGAGGGGAATTTTCGGTCATGTCCTGCCAGGCCAGGATGTTGGGCACCTGGTCAGGGTGGCCGTCTGGTTTGTCCCTGAAGATCATGGCCTTAACCTGTAAGATAATAGGTAGGTGGAAAGTTCCTTCTCCGTGCCAACCCACATCAAAGGTTGGCCATTCTGATATGCAATAAATTTGAAATCTTCCTCTCCTTATGTAAACAGTTATATGACAGTTAACAAAGACACAGTAACACAGACAAATGCCCAAACAGTTAGCAAGGACATGGTAACACAGACAAACGTTCCAGTGCGGCCGCAGAGACAAAACAGAAGGTAACGCGAAGGGCTGGCCGTCAGACCTCCTTAAAGTTGAGGACCTCCGTCCTCCTTACAGATGAGGACCCCGTCCTCCAGGCGGGGGAAAGGGACGTCTCCTCAAGACCCCGGGTCGGCGGCCCGCCAGCGCGTCCGCCTAAGCCAATGCCGACCCAATACAGATTGGAATTCCTACAGGTAAAAGTACAGTTTAGAGCTCTCAGAGAATATGCGCACAAAAGGTGGAAAAAGTTGAGTGCACTCACCACGCGTGAAACCCTCCGGATGGGGTCCTGGAGGTCTCTCGGATCCCGGCCAAGCCCCCAAATGTTGTGCCCAAGATTGCGAATCTGAGAAACCACCAAGGAGCCGACACCGATGCAAACACGAGGGTTTATTTACAAGCTCGAGCTTGGGTCCAAGTGTACTCGACACAGCGGAGCAGGGACTTGGACCCAGAGGTGGGTTTCACCTTAGTTTTAAGGGCTCCCTAGGGGACCTGCAGAAGGGGGGGAGGAATTTCTCAAGTTCTGTTTACATTCTGATATGGGGCTTTCAAGGGCATTGAGCTCTGTTCTTATTCTAATAGGGGCTTCCTGCCCTTGGCTTGGGCTCTGTGTTTATTCTAATATGGGGCTTTCTAGGATGTTAAGCTGTAAGCTGTTTTCTTCCTGTAACTGAAGTAAGGTAAAGTTCAGCTCTTATTCACAGGGCCCTGGGATGGCTGGACTTGTGCTAAAGCTGAACTTAAAGTGGAATGGCCTTAATTTTCTCGGCCTCCACAATATAACCATGGTACAATGATCAAAAGTTAGTAATTTAACATTGGCATAACACTATGATTAATTACAGACTTTATTCAGATTTCAGCAGTGTCTCATTGATATCCTCTTTCTGTTCCAAAGTCCAATCCAGGGCTCCACATTGTATTTAGTGGTTGTGTCTCTTTTGTGTCCCCCTGTCTGTGACAGTTCTTCAGTTTACCCTAACACTCTCAATGAATACTGGTCAGGTGTTTTGTAAAATGTCCCTCAAATTTGCATGTGGTTGCTCGTGATCACTTTGAAGTTATGCATAGGAATGATATCACATTTCTTGAGGCTACACAAATATCTATTTTCCCCTTCACTTTTTCCCACTAATTTTAGCTTTCCTAGGTGGATCCTGGCTACGAGTGTTTACTAGTGTTCTAATGATGACTTGCTATTTCCTTCTCTCCTTTTACATTATTAATTGAAATTCTTCTGCAAGGAGGAGTTGTCCTTTCTGCACCATTTACTTATTTATTTAATAACTTACTTATACAGGCATGGACTTCCAAGTATTTATCTTATTTGGTTTCATAAACCAGCATTTTATTTTGTGGCTGAAACAGTTTCAGCTTTGGTCATTGAGAGCTTTCACATTGGCTACTGTGTCCTTTCAACATGCCTCCATCCCGAGGACATCTTTGCTTTTTGGTACTGTAAGATCCCGCAGGCCCATCTTGTATTATCCCACCCCAGTTCTGGAATCAATCACTTCTCCAAGGGCCAAGTAGACGTTTTAAACCACAGTAGATAGTTTTGAAGCCTCTGCTCTCGCCCAGGGAAAGCACAGAGTCAGAAAAGAAGCTTGATGGACCATGGAGAAGCCCAAGATTCAAAGGTTGAGTAGACAGGGGGCTGGAATCCGAAGAAAGAGGCAGAGAAGGAACCGTCAGAGAAGTGGGGGGAACTCAGACCATGGAGTCAGAGAAGCAAGAAAGCTCATCTCAGCTTAACTATAGGGTCCTGCATAAGGCATCCTATCTGTTCTCTGCCACTTCACTCCTTCCAGCCAGATATCCTTACTGCCCCGAGCTAACCAGATCCCTAACTCTGACCAAACTGCAGGAAGCACAGCCACAACTAACAAATTCAGCCCTGGGCACTCTAGACCTTCATGCCTGTAACTGAAATGTTTATCCCTTTCTTTGTCAGGCCCAAATCCCACTTGTCTTCCCAAAGTCTGGGCAAGTGGCACCTTTTCCTGGAAACCTTTCCCAAACTTTCAGCCTATATTTATCGTTTGCTTTTTATAAATACTCTGTGTCTTATCTCCTCAGTTAACTTAGTGTTTGGGTGACATTCTTTTAAAAAATGTTCCTATTTGTTTCATATTATTTCTTTCCCAACAATACTGTAGCTCCTTTAGGTCAGAGGCCATATCTCATGCTCTCTGGTATGCTCAGTAGTTAGTAACATTTAAATACTTAATAGACATGTAATAAATATATGTCAGTTTAACATTCATATCAACAAATCAACCACTATAGTAAGTCTTCAAAGAAATAGTTGGGCACTGGGAAGATTCCAGGAGCTATCTTATCTATGCAGGAATGTTAAAAACTACTCCTTAAGATACAAAGTTAGAATAGTTATGCAAATTGCTTATAGCTTTGATGGTATTCCAAGAAAATGTAACCCTGAGCCACGGCAATTCCTATTTCTCACCAGGAAATAATTCATCAGGATATTTATGGCTTAACTATTAATAAAGTAAGTCACTACAATATTTTACACGATCCTTTCTTGATTCTTTTTAAAACAACTATCTGATTTGCTTCCATTTTTAAAAATCAACCGCCTGTTATAGAATGTAACATATAAAAGCTATTAGATTTTCAAAGGACAAGTGACAAGTGGGAGAATATTAATGGAATTCACTGATTTTAATGGTTAAATATCATTGTTTTTCTTGTTAAAAACAATATATACACATTGAAAAAAATCAATATCAACAAAAAGAAAATGAGCCCATAATCCCAGCACCCAGAAACAGAGATCATTAATATTTTTTCTAGGTTTTTCGAGATAAAATTGACCTATTAACATTTTATTGTATAACATACCGTGTGTGTATATATAGGGGTTGTGTGTATATGATCATTTCATACAAATTGCCTTCTACCTTACTTTTTTCACCTAATGTTTCATATTGCTCCCATTGTTAAATATTTTCTACATTATATCTTGGTAATGATGAATATAGGTTGGATGTATTATAATTCATTAGTCTCTTTGGACACTAGGGTGTTTCCAATTGTCCCCCAAATATATACCATGTCATGATGAACATTATTCTTAATTGTGAACATACCCATATTTCCTTAGAGTAAACTTGGAAAGTGAATGTCCCTGTATGAATGAGCAGTTTAAGGTTTTCATTTTTGTTTTCTAAATGGCTTCCGCCCAAAGCTGTGCCAGCTGACCATCTCAATCAGTGACAATTAAAGCAACTTTCA